TATTACTTATTTGCTTAATAAATTTAAAAAATAAAATATCGATATGCATGAGTAGAGGAATTTTTTGGAAAAAGAGGAATTTCGGCGATTTGCTTTATCATCACATAGCAGAACTCCATAACGTGTGTTTAATATGGTGAAATAGTTTCTTGAAATGTTCGAATTTTGCGAAGTTTTTAACGTTAAGGTCGAATATCTCTAAGGGTTTCCATTACCTATAACCCCATGTATTCTTTAATCAGGAGAACTTCCTCTTTCCAACGGTACCTTCAAATCGCGGCGCCAAAGAAATCGGAATTGTACCGATATCACATTGGGCATGATTATTAGATTTCGGATTTTTTCAAGGTAAACGAAGCTATGTGAGTAGAAGGTTGAGAAATATGAATATTAAAATGTTAAGATGGTTTGGTGAACCTGATCATTTAGATATACTTACATACTAATATAAGACAATATTTATCTCGATTAGTTTCAGGTGTTATAAACTACCATTACGTATCTCAATTTCGGTTTTCAAAATTATTAACCCATTGCCTTTTCATACTCTCGCAATATGTTTGTACAGGTAGATATGTGAGGTACCTTAAGGCATGTCAGATAAGAAAAAAAACGGACGGTAGCGCGTACTTCGAAAGCTGGGAGTCGATATACGGTCACACAACATATAAGACCACCTGTAATATTTTATAATAAATATAACTTTTACATACATTTATTTGAATCAATTAAAACTAAGGGACTTTGATTTAATCGAAATCTACATTTGGGGCCTCGCCCAGAATTGAATTTAAGCCAATCGGAAAAATTTCGCTGTCATCTTCAAATATCAGCCGGCGTATATTGGAAGCAGTTGTAGCAGAGGGTTCCAGCTATTGTTAGTTGACACAAACCAGCAGAGCAGTTTATGTCAGCCGCAACAGCATAGCCGTTGTCATTTGAAATTTTGCTGAAAGAAGAGGAGTAGACGCTGAAAAAGAAGACTTAAGATAGAAAACGAGAAAAAGTTGAAGAAGGAGAAGTACGATAGAAAGCCAAACGAAGAAGAAGTTTAAGTAAAGACACCTATAGCCAAGTTCAAGACGGAAAAGATGAAAAATCTAATAAGAGAAAGTTAAGGTAAAGTAGTTGAACAAATGCATACGTGAATTTATAAGAACCCGAAAGACGATATAAGCAAAGAGTGTAACACGAACTTTAATGTAAAGAAATTCATGTAGAAATTAAGCTAGACATAGAAAGTAAGACAAAGTAAATTTTAAAGAATATCAAAAAAATAATTGGAAAATATTTTTGTATATTAAATTTATATACATGACTGAAAGAAACGAAATGAAATTTTGTGAAATATAACACACATTAGTGATATCCGATTGATGTAAATTTACAAAATATTTGTATTTTAAATTGAAAATCGAAAAACTGGGAACTAATTCATTCTCATTAATAATATTTGCATTTTTGTGTAATTTATGAAAACTAAACTTTACTGTATTTATACATTTTGTTGGAATTGTCAGTTGACCTACTAAATAATTTTGATGTAACTCTAAACAAAATACTTACGCTGTCTTAAACTAAGATACATATACTTTATACATATGTATTTTATATAGTTCATTAACATATATTTTAATATTGTAAACATGGATGCAGATGCTATTTTAAAAATTACGGTTACGACTTTAAAAGACAAACTAAAGGAACTCTGACTAGGAGTAAGTGGACGGAAACATGAACTGAGGGAAATACTTCTCCAACATTAAGGCCTGATTGACGGCGATGACGACGACGAAAATGAAGGAAGCGATTTTAATGCCAATCAGCCTGAATGTGATTTTATACAAAAACGGACTGAACCATCTGCACCTAAAGGTTGTGCACATTTCAGGCATAAAGATATTTTCTACTTTTGATGGAAGAGATATGTCTGATATACCGAAATGGATCGCAGAAATAAAAGAAAACGCAGAAATAGCAAATTGGAATTATGTACAAAAATTCGTTTATACAAAAGGGTTGTTGAGGGGTGCTGCAGAAATAAAGTCGGAAATAAGTTATCAGCAGTCGATGTGCATAAGATGTTAGGGAAAAGACAGAAGAAGACGTGTGAATCGTATCGTGAATACCTATATGTTTTGATATAGATAAGCAAATCAATTGACTCATGGCATGTGACAGAACTAAAAGAACAATTAGTAGTTTACGAAAAAATCAAGCAGGAACCAAAAGTTGAAAATCTGAAGTAAGCGGATGTAAATGATAAAATTAAACAGGAGAATTAGTTGCCATTAAGAATCGATAAAAGATGTTATAAATGTGGTGCACCTTGGCACATACCTAGAGTTTGTTCTTCGAAGCAATTCAAATGCTTTAAGTGGCAGAAGATGGGACATAGATATTTTAAGTGAAAAGAAATAAAAGGTGGGAACACTGAGGGAGAACACAATCGTGTAAATTCAATTGACGAACTTGCAAGATTTAATTAAAAATTTAAAAATATACGGATTTGAAATGTAGAAGTGAGCGCGCTTATCGATACTGGTTGTAACTTGTGTTTAATCAGATGCGACACATTTAATAAGTTCGACAGAGATATAAAGCAAAAATATCAACGATAGAAAGCTTTGATATAGAAGTACGAAATTGATCAGAGTATTGTTGACATTAGTTAAGAAGTGATTCTGGGTAATTTAATATTGAAACATTTCGAGATGTTGGTTAGTGAAATGGGGCTTCATTTAAAGAAAAGTTGTCTGTGCCGATTAATGATACAATGAGAGTCAAAGGTAACTTAACAAACGATGATGATTAATATTTTTTAAATTTATGTTTTAACGTTGATATAATTGAAAAAGGCTATGATTTAACTCATTTGAATAAAAAATCAGCAGAGGCGGTGAAGCAAATGATAGAATAGTATATCCGAAAGAAAGACGATAGTTCACCGGTGAATATGATATTTATTCTTACCGACGAGGTTTCAGATTACCAACCACCACGAAGGATATGGTGCAACAAATCATAGATAAGTAAGTCACACAGTGGTTAGATGAAGGTACAATACATCCTAGTTGCTCAAACGTTTCGCCTTTTCTACTAATATCGAAGAAAAAATGGCACAAAATGACTTTGTTGCGATTATCGCAAGCTAAATTTGAAAATAGTGCGGGATAATTTCCTAATGACCTTAATTGACGACGTACTCGAAAGGCTTAGAGAAGTAAACATATTCACGACGTTAGATTAGCAAATGGTTTCCTACACGTACCGGTAGATGAGAGTTCGTAACTCATAGTAGCCAACATGAATTTCTTTATGTACCCCTTGGTATATGTAATCCACCCATTGTTTTCTGTCGCTACATTCATGCCATATTAAAATATTATATTTGAGATAGAACAGTTTTTGCATATATGGATGATTTGGTAATCCCAGCGAAAGCTGAAGAAGAAGCTCTAGAGAAGTAAGGGAAAGTATTGAAGTTAGCTTCTGATAAGGGACTGAGCATAAAATGGGAAAAATGTCAATTCCTTAAGAAGAAGATAGAATTTTTAGGCTATATTATTGAAAATGGAACCATTAGACCGAGTGAAAGTAAAACGAAAGCCGTGGAAAAGTTTCCGTTACCACAGACTAAGMAGGCGCTACAGAGATTCTTAGGCTTAATGTCTTATTTTCGTCGTTTTATTAAAAACTTCGCATTAATCGCAAAACCTTTATCACACTTTATGAAGAAAGGCGCAGAGTTTAAAATGGGTGACGAACACTTTTTTTCGTTCGAACAGCTGGATACAGCTCTTATTCAGGCACCAGTTTTCGGAATATTGAACCTAAAGCAACGACAGAAATTCATACAGAAGCATCAATGTATGGTTACACAGCAATTCTTTTCCAAAAAAAAAACTTCGAAGATCAACAGTTTCAGCCAGTTCAATTCATGAGCCACAAAACAACACCTGCAGAACAGAAATATCATTCGTATGAGCTCGAAGTACTAGCTATAGGCGAAGCGCTCAAGAAGTGGCGTATGTGTTGGTGACAAAGTTCAAAATTATTACTAACTGTAACGCTTTTACGATGACTGTACAAAAAAGAGACCTACCCTTACACAATGGGCTATGTATCTTCAGGAATATGATTACCTTATGGAATACAGATGAGGGACTCAGATGAGACATGTAGACGCTCTTAGCAGAATTTCTTGTTTGACGATGGAGGATTCATTAAGACATCGACTTAAAGAGGAGCAAATGAGAGATATGTGGATAAAAGCGGTTCGAAAGATTTTTGAAGAAAAGTGCTACGATAATGTTTACATCCATAACGATATATGTACTGTATAAAGACCCTGATTTACAACTGATCGTGGTGTCATCACAGATGGAGAAAAAGATAATTGAGATTGCAAATCGTCAAGGATATTTTTCAGTGAAGAAAGCAAAGGACTGCTTAGAGTAGGATTTTTACATTCCTCAACTAGAAAATAAAGTTATAAAAATTGTAAATAGTTGCATTGGCTGCATTGTCGTCAATTCGAAAAGTGGTAAAAAATATGGCTTTTCTAGCACCCATTGATAAAGAGGATAAGCCTTTGTTGACGTTCTATATAGATCATTTTGGTCCGCAGTATAATATAATTGCAGTTTTGAATGCATTTTTGAAATTTTTGTTTCTTTATCCCACAAAATATACGGGTAATGATACAGTGATCGATCGATTGACGATACAAGAAACAAAAAAACATTTCAGCTATTCAAGAAGAAGATCGTAGAAATTAAACCCGAAAACGCAAAGAAAATCGAAATTATGAAGTGAACGACCTAGTATCTATAAAATTTACTCAGTTTGGAGCAAATCTGAAATTGAAAAGAAAATAATTTGTACCGAACAAAACCGTCGAAAAGTTATTACATGGACATTATAAAATATAAAAGCTTGATGAAGTTTAATGACATAATTTGACCTCAACCGTGACCGAGTATATCAAACCATGGAGTTCAGAATTCGGGTAGAATCCTGTGTCAGGAGGGCCGAATGTGGAACCGACAGACGAACGCAAGATAACTAGAAGTGAACGTAATTTTTAACACCTGTTAAATACGAGACTGCAAACTTGACGAATAGAATAACAACAAGGCGAAGGTAAAAAGAAAAAAGGAAAACACGGACGGTAGCGCGTACTTCGAAAGCGGGAGTAGATATACGGCCATCAAACCTATTTTTTAATTAAATTAAATTAATTAAAACGAATCGACTTTGATTTAATCGAAACATACATACATATATACTACTGAACCATCAAAAATTGGAGTTACAAGAAACTAGTATTGATACCGACTCATAAAAAAAATTTATGGGGTTAATAACTTTAATACTTTTTTATATTCTTACAATATCCTGTTATAGAGATTAATAATTTTGTTCACCTAACGGTTGTATGTATCATCTAAAACGAATCGAGATAGATATAGAGCTATGTATACAAAAATGATCAGGATATCTCTCGGAATTTCAATCTGGTACATTGATCGATATTTTTGTTAAAAAATCTACTATAAACACTAGACTCCACATATTCGACATCTTGGAACTTAAACAGTTTCAGTTCGATTTGAAAAATGTTTGCTTATGAAATGGCTCCCTTCAAAGGCATAATTCATATTTTATCCCATAATATTAATTGGTGTTTTCTTTGTATACTGAAACATGAAAGAATCAAATGCAATAACAAATTGTGTTATATTGGAAGTATGTGTGGTTGTGGTTAGATTTGTGTATTATAACGCAGGAATATCAGATGAATGTAATATACCGAATTTGGTAGAATAGATCTCGAGATACATATGTATTTTCATCCAAATGTAGTCTGAGCTCAATAAAGTGTTGTCGTACCATCTTAAATGTAAAATTAAATGTTGACGAATTTTGTTATTGATTTACATTTAGGAGTTTTAAAGAAAACCGGCTTGGAAGATATACTACATATACATACAAACTTACTAGCGGCGAGGACACGCCCACTTTACAAAGGTTTTCAAACCACAGGGTTCTCACTGTATTGTCAAATTTGAGTTATCTTAATTTACGGCTTAGTTATGACAATTCATACTTCATAATGGTTTTTGATGGGCATGGCACTGATCTCATGACGCCTATGTACAATAGCAAACTTCTTATGATGTCAAAGAACCATTTCATCAATATATCTCAATTTTTATGAAAGTTAGAGCTTGAACGTACGGACGGACAGAGAGGCAGTTACCTGGATTTCAATTCGGCTCGTCATTCTGATAATTTATATGTATATATAGTCCCATATCTATCTCGATTTGTTTCAGGTGATACTTTCAACCATTATTTTAACAAAATTAAGATACTCTGTAGCAACATGTCGGAAGAGTATAAAAAATAACGACTCGTTTTTCATCGAATTTCTCTTCTTTTATGGGAAGGCAATATATGTATATATTGTCGCAATTTTCATTTTGAATATCCCCAAAATACGAGCTGTTTATGATAAATTGAAATAATTAATACACTCATTCAAATGTATGTATGTAGATATATTATAATTTTCCCGTCATCCATTTTCACATGAATTTTCATACCTCTAGTTCGAATCTCATTAGCCCACAACTGTTATTATACATCTTTTTACCATTTTTTTAAATAAGTGAAATTTGAAATCCTCATACGATTTTAAAAAAGAGGCATCAGGTGTTACCAGCAAATTTTACAATTTTTATAACTTACAAGTTTATTGAAAATTTGAAGGGCCTAATGAAAAGCAATTTCAAGGCATAGTCTTATAAATAAAAATTATTTTAACTTGGAAAAAGAACTTAATAATAATTTTCAGTTTTATATTATGTGATATTTGTATAACTATTTATATGTTTTAAATGTTATTCTGGAAAAGATTTGAAAATATYATTACTCTACATAGTTTTGAACTTGCAATAAGTAGGGATTTTAGCTAGGGAGAAACTTCGGAAAACGATTGCTTCAAGTTTCCATATTACGTTAGTATGACCAAAAGTAATTTTATTCGCTTCAATATTAAGTAAAACAAGTAACTGCTAGCAATTGCTAGCAATTATCTTGCTTTAAAGGTATTTATAAATGAAATAAATAATAAGGACAAAGTTAACTTAATGGTAGATAATCTACGAACCTTAAAAAATTTAGCGAAACAGCACCAGCAGAAGTATACACTTATATCAAATATGTACTTTTAAAAAGGATGTAATATAAATTATAATTTTAAAATACAGTTCTTAACGAAACGTAGTCTTCTTATTATGGTTTCAAATACGCTGCAAACATTTAATCAGCAATTAAATTAATAGTATTTATTATCTGTTGTATATAATTTTACAATATTGAAGAATTAAACAACATGTTAAAGGCGCCTTCTATTTTAAAAATCCGCAATTAAACTCTAAGATGTACAATATTTAACATATTTGCTAATCTTCATAAAATAATACTGTAGTTTTTAATTACGCCTGTTAATGCTGATATTTTGATTTGCCGTCGGCTAAATAATCTCTAAAATACAGATTATGATGATGAGAATTATTTTACTATTTCAAAAATGGGATTAATTAATATATTCGAATTTCGTATCATTAGAAGCATTACAATTTTTAATATACTCACATAACTAATATGTTTGTAGACTAGAAACGCTTTAATTAAATTTTAATTGGCGAGTATTTGTTTCTTAAAATCATATTTTTTTAATGATTGATTTTTTAGTATTAAATATTATATACAAAGCGAAATATATTAAAAATTATTTTAAAAATAATACATTACATTTGTGCATAACAGCCATTAGGAACTAAAGAAGATGACTCCAGTTTATTTCAACTATAGACGATTACAACTAATGATGTCATGCAGTTCTCAGGCTGGAACTCTGTCGTGAATTAGATGACGTGTGTTGGTCTGTTGGTATATCAACATTTGCAAAATATAACGGTTGTAAGTTTCCAAGCGGAGATTTCATCATTAATATTGGATGCAGCGGAATATCGTAAACTGTTGTGGAATTTAAGCAAGGATCCAAATTGATACAATTAGCTTCTGACCTATTATAATGCAGAAGGGGTATGTGGGTATTTCCAGTAATCGTGTGCAACGGAGGAAGGGGTTGATGGTTCATTTCAGCACTGAATATAGAACTGTGTAAGGTGGCACAATTCTGTTTTAGTGTTTCTGTTTCCAGTCTTTCGGTAATAGTTTTATCGTAACTGTTAACGCCTTTTATAGACTTTGAATCAAGTTTATCGGGCGTTATTAAACTTTCAATAGTAAAAGAACGTTTTTGTCGAGATTTGTTAATAATGGTTGATCCATCCATGATTGGTGATATTACTTGGGAACTATGTAATATATTCGAGAATGTTGTATCACTATTTGTTGACATTGTTACTTGTGGATATCCTAATGATATAGCAGTAGATGCAAAATTTGTGTTAGGATGCGTGTTTCCAACAGAACATTGAGTTAATTTAGCTATATTTGCTACATTAGTTAAATAGAGCGAAGAGTCATTAATTAATGGTAATTCTGCTGATGTTGACGTATTTTGTGGAGTAAAAAAGAAACGATTAAGATTTGCCCATGTAGCTAGTTCTTCTTTCAAATAATCCTTATCGTGTTTGTGTAGTTTGAAGCGTTTCCGACGCCGTAGTAAGCTACCATTTTCAAACATATCAATTGCTTGTGGGTGAAGAGCCCAGTACGCACCTTTGCCTGGCCGTTCTGGTCTTCGAGGAACCTTTATAAAGCAATCATTAAAACTGAGGTTATGCCGTAAGGAATTTTGCCAGCGTTGTGTGTTTTTCCGATAATAAGGAAAACGATCAATTATAAATTTATAAATATCACTCAGAGGTAACATTTTTTCGGGTGAATTCCAAATAGCCATAGCCGTTAAGGAAATATATGAATATGGGGGCTTTTGATCGCCATATGATTCCCTCGGAGGTCGGGGCATAATTCAATAATAGAAAACTGAACATTAATACAACACGGTTTTGCTTATTTCGATTGAAAATGCATTTTATTGACAACAAAAACATCCACTTGTTTTATTGGTTGTGTATTATAATTTACACTTGTTCTCCGACGGTGAAATATCAAATTTAATTTTAACAACAACACGTTTAAACAACGTTTATCTCTTAACATTCATTGTGCGCGGAAATTCAAACGATTGTACGAATATCACTAAGAGCAACGAAGCCGAACTGTTAACGAAAACAAAATCTCAGACACATTGACGACAGCGAGAAGAAGCAAACACACATACACAGTTATGTGTAACGCCAATGCAACTATTCAAAAACGATTCCACGCAACCAACCAGAAACGCACAAAGTTCGATGCATCACAATACTCGTTTTTCTATGGGTTCTTATTCACACCCCCTCTGCAATTTATGTACAATAAGCAAAACAAGTCCTCTATAAATAAGGTTGTATTCATTTATGTGACAGGCAAATGGATAGTTTTATTCCACCCTTTTACATGCTCAAGGGAGGAGTTTCACTAGCTAAAAAATTATTAATAAACATTTTCTTCTTTGGCATGGCTTCTTCATTATTTTTCTATTGAATAATTTTTAGTGGAGTTTTTATTTATTAAAGACAAAATATTTAGTAGAATATCATCAAGAAAAGCATCATGAAGTTTAAAATGCAGCATATGCAAATATTTTTCTACAGATGTTATGGTTATAGTTACTTCAGCATAGTTTGATTACAGAAGTAACAGCTGGTTTCGGTTGTCGGCCGAATGTATAATACTTAGAAATCAAAGACAAGTTAATGAAATGTTTTAGGTGAATCCTGAAAACATTTTAGTATGGGCAACCTTAAAGTATGGCATATAACATATGTAGATTTAAGTGAGTTATATTGGGAAGCTTTTATGTGTAAATTAATAAACAGAGTAAAAAGTAAAAACTTTCAAGGTAAAAAAAAGAAGCCTCTAAAAATTTTAACACTTAAACTTTGTATTAGATTCGTCTGTCCCAACTTTTCATAAATTAAAATGAAAAAAATATATATTTTCTTACTTTTGTAACTTGACATTTCCAAAATAGTTAATAATTAAAGTAAAAACAATCAATGTGGGAATCTCATTGGAAACGAAATATAAAGTATCAAAAATTAGGAATGTTTCTAAAGGTAATAAAAACATATACGACTATTGCATTAACACCTTTTTTAAAGAACTTTAAAATTTATGTGTATATGTGGAAATCGAAAGTATTACTTATAGTTTTAGGTTTCTGCTTTTATTTGCAAAAAATAAATTCTCATTGACAAAATTTGGAGTGAACTAACTGAGCCAAATACTCTGTATTTTTTAAATTTAAAGTTTTATGCAGGAAACCTTATTTCGAGTTAAAACCCAATAATCTTAACTTTCCCCAAAATATTATTTAACCCTTAATTCTTGCTATTTTACCTTTCGTTTCCAATGAGTTTTATCCTAATGAGAAGTTCATTCATTTTTTATTATTTCAAAGGCTTTTTTTGATTTTAGTTTTTCAATATTATTTATAAGTGTTCGACTTACTGCCATCTTAATTAATAGGTTAAATATATCCCACAGGCTTTCTACCATATACAATGAAACCCAATTTAGGCAAAAACTCGCCGTCGGGTGAGTAAATAGCTCATTTAAAAAATTTTAAATCACTAATTTATCATCAAAATAAAAAAATGTTTTATATCGTTGCAACAAAGGTCAATGATCTATTTAAATACATATAATAACATAGGAAATTTAATAAATTTCTTCTGTTATACTCTCAACATCTGTTCTATTGCCATTAATAGTTTTTAAGAATTCGCCAATTATAACAACCAATTTGTTGTTTGCATTTTCGGTGCATGTAGTTATTATTAGCTTTACCAATCTTTAATTTTTTCTGCCAATTTACTGGAAGATTTGGAATATCAGTTGATGAGGCTATGTGAAATGGATATTAACTATGGGCCAAGAAAATGGGAGTTGATTCTTTACTTTCTTCGAATGTCACTCCATGTTTTTGTGTTTTCACTAGTTTAATTTCTAAAAACATTAAGAGGGTCATCCAATGTCATAGGCCCAAAATATCTATTTTTTTTTTCTTAAAGTTATTTTTTGACAAGTCTAGAAGTCAATGTGCGGAGCGTTGAGTGGCGGACTTGAAACTTTAAATACTTTTAATACGAAAGAAGGAAAACATTTGAGCACAGGGAGTACTCTTCAGCAATATTTCTAGATGTAGCTCAAGCATTTAATAAGGTCTGGCATGAAGGCCTTTATATAAGAGTAAAACAATTCTACATTTAGAATTGTATAAAATATGGTGTCTTATTTAAATAATAGACCATGTATGGTGAAATTAGGGAATATATATATATATGATGAAAGACTCTATACATCATTTATAGCAGATCTTCCAACAGCTAATACTGTATTAACTTCAACTTTTGCGGATGACACAGCTATAGTGAGCCGTAACAATTGCCACATTTTTACATCAACAATATTAGCATATTAGCGGAGCATTTAATGTCTGTCGAAGAATAGCTTGTAATCTGGCGTATAAACGTGAGTGAAAAAGTGTAAGCAGGTTTCGTTTCCGGGTTCCATGGGGCGGCAATTTTAGTAAATACTGTGGTTGATCGATGGTATTAATCATGGCTCGAGGCTATGTTGCTTTATCATCGTATATGAATTGATCTTCCACAATTCCAGCCGTTTTCGAACGATTTTCTCGTTTTTTTTTTTTTTTGCAAAGAGACCTCCTTTACGCAATTTTTGTGAAAATATTAGCTTTATTGGAACGAGTCGAGCAAAAACGGGTTTCATACCTAAAATATCCTCCAAAATCAATGAACGGATTCGCGAGAGATACCGAGCTCTCTTGCCACCTCTATCATACTTACCTGATGATTTTCAAGCACCATATCCTCCAGTTTTTTAATATTTTCACCAGTTGAAGAGGTCAAAGGTCGCCCAGAACGAGGTAGGTCTTCAACAACCTCTCGACCGTCTTTGAAAGCCTTAAATCACTCATAGGCTTGTGTTTTTGAAAAAACTGAACATAGACATACGGTGTCTCTTCCAACAATTGCAACGCGTTCGCACTCGAAATTTGGCTTAAACCAAAAAAATTGAGAAAAAAATTTTGTTCGATATTTTTATTCATTGTAAAAATCGCAACATACTACTAAGGTGTACCGAATTAAGCAACTTTTTCTTCTTCTTCTTCTTTACTGTCGGGGAGTTAACAACTGCGCGCCAGTAATTTTTTCTTATCGCTACGTGTCGCGAATTTCATATTATAAGCAAAGCCAGGTCCTTCCACACCTGTTCCTCCTAACGAAGTGGAGGTTTTCCTCTTCCTCTGCTTTCCTCGGCGGGTACTGCGTCGAATACTTTCAGAGCTGAAATGTTTTCGTCCGTTCAGACAACAAGACCTAGCCAGCGTAGTCGCTTTCTTTTAATTCGCTGAACTATGTCAATGTCATATATCTCGTACAGCTCATCGTTCCATCGAATGCGATATTCGCCGTGGCCAACGCGCAAAAGACCATAAATCTTTCGCAGAACCTTTCTCTCGAAAACTCGCAATGTCGACTCATCAGTTGTTGTCATCGTCCAGTCATTTGCACCATATAGCAGAACGGGAATTAAGAGGGAATAAAGTTT